GCAAGTCCCTGCTTACTTGGACTTCCTTGAAAACAGGTGCCACTTCCATAGGTTCTGATTTACATAACACATGGCTTCCTGGGATTCAGGAAGGAAGCCGTGCTGAATATTCCTCTTCTCTAGGAAGAAATATAAGATTTTCGCATACATCCGGAGGCTTTCCAGCTGGGAAGAGCTTCAAAGATCATCTTATTATCCGACTCCTTAACCCTTTGGCCATCGGATGAAACTTATGAATGTCTCAAAAGAATGTTTTCAAATACATAGAATAAAACATATGAAGTTACAAAGGGAAGCAATGATTTTGAAATAGTTAATTTTTTTTCAAAAGAACTCACAGACTTCAGGTTTCAGTTCAGTTCAGTCACTGTTCAGTCATGTCCAGCTCTTCGTGACCCCATTTGGTGTTTTCTTGGCAAGAACACTGGAGTGGTTTCCCCTTTCCTTCTCCAGCTCATTTTACAGATGAGGGACTGAGGCAAACAGGGTGAAGTGACTTGCTCAGGGCTAATTTTACAGATGAGAGAACTGGGGTCTAGACAGAATTTGGGATTATTATCCCTCCCACCTGGCAGGTTTGGAAAACAGTTGCCTGGGGAGCACAGCAGGAGTCTAAGGGGGTGGGGTGGGGAGGGAGGAAACCACAACTTTAAGAAGCAAACAGAATAAAAGTCTTTCCTTTGTATTTCTCAATGAGAGAAGTCGAGTTTCCTCAAGTCTTTCCTCACCAGCTCTGTCTTGGTCGCCTCCAATGCTCAAAAATGGGCATGAAGGGGACCTGACATTGAGGAACTGAAGTCAAAGGGTAGGCTGGTTTCCAGGGGCTGCCTTCTTCCTCCTTCCCTTATATTGTCTCCACCCTTTACCGACTGTCAAGCCCAATTCAGGGGAGGGAGAGCAGGTTTGCTTTCCTTCTTTCCTCTGTCCTGGTAGCTGGGTAGCAGCTGGGACAGAGTGCCAGGCCTGGAGTCAGTTCTTCCTGAGTTCAAATCTTCCCTCACACAGTGGCTATGTAGTCCTGGGCAAGTCAGTTAACCCTATTTGCTTCAGTTTCCTCATCTGTAAAATGGGCTAGAGAAGGAAATGGCAAATCACTGCAGTATCTTTGCCAACAAAACCCCAGATGGGGTCACAAAGAGTCAGACATGGCTAAACAATACGACATTTAAAATGATTTCAGATCAGCTTCTAAAGGAGATTGATGCTGCCAAACATGGAGACTTCAGTGACAGGGCGTAAAATGAGCTTATAATAGACACCAGAGATATAACAGGGGTGGATCTGCCAGACTTGGCTTCTACCGAAGACCTAAGCATCTGTGCCTTGACTGTGTGGGGAGGGGTTCTGGCCCCTCGTGATAGAAAGTGCAAGGACCAACCAGGAACCACTGGGTCCTCAGCGTGGAAATGCTCCTCTGAGGAGCCAGATCATTTCTGGCCTGATCTGAAGGGACCTGGAGAGTGTGAGCACCTAGTCAGTCAGTCAGTCAACAAGCATTTATTAGATGCCTACTGTGTGCCAGGCATTGTGCTAAGTGCTGGGCATGCAAAAGGGGCAAAAGGCAGTCCCTGCCCTCAAAGAGTCCATAGTTTTATTGGGAAGACATGCAAATACATGCAAAGCAAACTGTATTTAGGACCAAGAATTACCAGAGGAAGGTGCTGGCATTGAGGGCTTGGGCAAGGCTTCCTGGAGAAGGTGGGGAGATTGGTGAGGAGATGAGTGATGAGGCAGAAGAGCCGGGTTCATTTGGTGGCTCTGCGGTTGACTGACAACAGCGCTCATAAATCACCTCCCTTTCCCAGATCTCGTTTTCCTCCTCTGTAAATTGGGCCAGGTAAGCCGTACTCTCTCTCCAAGGTCCTTTCCAGTGCCTTCATCCTGTGTCTATGTGTGGTTATCCTCCATGGCTCCCAGGAATGTAAGTTAAAATGAGAGGCAGCGGAGAACAATGGGAATCAGTACTGACCTTGAGTTGGGGTCCTGGGTTCAGGTCCCAGCACTTCTACTTGGGGAACCCAGCAAATCACTTAACCTTGTGTGGCCCCAGTGAAATGAGGGCCTTGGTCTGGACAATGAGCAAAGCCCCTTCAAGCACCAAGCCTTTGGGTGCTGACCAAATCACATCAAGATGGTGCTTGTACCATCTGGGAAGCAGCCGCAGCCAGAACCCAGAACGTGGCCCCAGGAAGGGCAGAAGACTCCTGGGGCTTTACCTTGAACTCAGAGATTGCCAAGAGAGTTCTTCAAAAAAAAAAGAGCTCATAAAAACATAGCTCAGTGCTTGTGTCCCTACCTGTCAGTGGGGTCAAGAAGTTCTCCTAAAGAAAATGATCAATGTTGGAGAAGATGTGGGAAAATTGGAACACTAATACGTTATTGGGGGAGCTGTGAAATGATCCAACCATTTTGGAGAGCAATTTGGATCTATGCCCAAAGGGCTACAAAAATGTGCATACCCTTTGATCCAGCAATAGTGCTTCTAGGGCTATATCCCAAAGAGATCAAACAAATGGGAAAAAGACCCACATGTACAAAAATATTCATAGCAGCTCTTTTTGTGGTGGCAAGGAATTGGAAATTGAGAGTATGCCCATCCATTGGGGAATGGCCAAGCAAGTTGTGGTATATGAATGTAATGGAACACTATTGTGCTATAAGAAATGATGAACAGGCTGACTTCAGAAAAGCCTGGAAAGACTTATACGGTCTGATGCTGAGTGAGGTGAGCAGAAGCAAGAGGACTTTGTACACAATAACAGCCATGTTACACAATGACTAATATTGTTAAACTGAACCCTTCTCAGCATTACAAGGATCTAAGACACTTCCAGAGGCCTTGGGATGGAAAAAGCTGTCCACATCCAAAGAAAGAACTATGGAAGTCGAATCATTATCACTTATTTTTACCTTCTGTTGAGTTTTGTTTCATCTTTCTGATGGTTCCTTCTATTAGTTTTAATTTTTACTTACAACTTCATTAATGTGAAAATATGTTTAAGGGGTATGTAAATGTACAGCCTATATCAGATTGTGTGCTGTCTTGGGAAGGGTGGGGGGGAAGAAGGGGAAGAAAAATTTTCAACTCAAAAGCATATGGAAGTGATTGTTAATAAATCAAAATAAAAATAAAATCAAAAAAAAAAGTTCTTCTAAAATTAGCCAGGATATGGCCATGGACAGAGTTCATTCTAAAAACCTCGGCTGTCCCGGCTGCCTCCACCATGCCCAGCCCCTTCAGAAGTAGTCTCCCAAACCATGATTGCTGAATCAGTGCCTAATTAAGCACTCCCATTCCTTCATGGCAGGAGGAGGTAAACAAGCGTCACCAAGTTTCCTTTTTCTTTAAGCAGAAAGGGAAGCTCAACTTGGGCCTTTTGGCAAAAGTCCGAAAGGGGAAACAATTAAATTAATTTTTGTTTGAAAATTCTAATGGGAACTCTCCAGGTTGCAGGAGGAACAGCAATGCCGTAGTTAAAGCCACTTTTTATATGGAATGTATGAAGTTTGGTTTTCAAAGTATTAGCCTGGAATGGGCCAGAAAGGGGGCCTAGGAGCCTGGGAGCCCAGAAGGCCAGGTGCCCCTCCTGCCTCTAAAACTACCTGCTCTGGGACCCTGGACTACTCACCTCTTCTCTCAGGGCTTGGGACATCTCTCTAGGACAGGGGTTCTTTGGACCCCTTTGTCTGTAAGACTGCACAAATCTCTGGATCCATTCTCAGAATCATGTTTTCAAGTGAATAAAATAAAATACAAGAAGGAAACCAATTATACTGAAATATAGTGATCGACATTAGGGTGGGGAGGAAGGTCACAGACTCTGGATTAAGAATGCCTGATTGAAGAGGTAAGTTCTAGATAAATGGACTTCTCCATCGATGAAGGAAGTTTCCACACTGGGAATTCTCTGCATGGATGGAATCATGAATCCATAACAATGGCAAAAAAATTCTATGATTATTTGTAAATGTCTCAAAACCAGGATCAGGGACTTGGAGATAGGCTAATAGAGCTACTGTAATACAATACAATGCAATACAATACCTACCCTCCCCCCATCTCTACTCTGTTTTCCATCAGGATTTCCCAAACCTAATTCCCTTCTGCACCTCCCTCCCACAGCTCACCCCTCTCGGGTGCCTGAGCAGGATGACTGAGCATGATGGAAGCTTGGAGGAAAGAGAAGCCAGGCACACAGGGAGAAGAAGGAAGAGTCAGGCCTCGTGCATACAGAATAGCTTAGCTTACAAAAGAAAGCTTTGGGTAACTAAGGTTTTACAGAGCAGCGACTGGCTGCTCAACTCTGGAGATGCTGCTTTAGACTTCAGAACCTTTGAAAAAGGCACTTTTAAGTCACCTGGTCCAACCGTCTCATTTCACATGAGAGGAAAATGGAACCTGGAGAGGTTCGGTGACACGTCAGTCCCCCATCAGTCCCCGAGGCTTTAAGAAGCATTCCCTGTGTGGCAGCTCCTGTGCTAAGTGCTCGAGACACAAAGAAAGGCAAAAACCAACCGGCCCCTGCCCGCAGGAGCCCCCCTCTAACGGGAAAGACGATAAGCAAGAACAGTTGGCTCCTTTGAGTCCCTGCAGCAGATTTGGGTTAGAGATGAGACCGGAACCCTGAGCCCCGGGGGCTAAGCCAATGATATTCCCTCTATCCTTCCCCCCCCCCCCGCCTGTTCTCCTGGCTTCTATATTTCTGGCCCTTTGTCTCAGAGGCCCCCAGCAGCTTCCAGTGTCTAGCCCCCTCCTCAAAATGATACATTCAGGCCCTGAGAACACGTGAAATCCTTTCTTAGAATGTTCTAAGATGTTAGATTGAGAGACGGAAGGCATCTTGGAGGCCAGCTAGCCCAACCCCAACATTTTACAGATGCGGAAAAAGACTCCAGAAGGGAAAGAAACTTGTCAAAGTCACACAAGCAGAATCAAGATTTGAACCCAAGTCCTCTGACTATTTAGAATTTAGAATTAGAATCTTTTCCCCCCATTAAACACCATTTGGATCATGCCATTCCATTCCTTCGCTCAGAAGCCTACGATGAGTCCCCAATGAAGGCAGTAAAGGTCAGTGGTAAGATCCCTGGTTTGGGAGTCAGAGGAATTAGATTCAAAGCCAACCTCTAATGCTCACTAATGAGTGACCTTGGACAGGACAATTGATGGCCCTCAGCACCAGTTTCTAGGAGGTTCAACCAGCTGGCTTCCGAGGTCCTTTCTGGCTCTAGCCCTAGGATTCTACGAAAGCCACTGAAATTTTTAACTGGGAACTTAAACCCTTCAGTGATTGGGCTGCTCTTCTCCTCCCTTTCAGTATGCAGGGGTAGCCTCTTCACTCCCAGCCAACCTGGGGCAGGTCCCCGAACCGCCAGGAGTCCCTCTGACACTTGGCCCTTCACCATTCTTGTTTCCCGAAGGCAGAATGCCTCTCCAGTAGTCCTCATGCTTTCTCTCCTTCAACGCCATGGCATGAAGGCTCTCAGGTTTGACCTCACCCACCCCCAAAGCTCCTTTACAGTATCCCTGGGGCAAAGATGCCTAATGGTGATTGCCCTCACTTATTTGTGTTTCCTCCCTATGTGTCCAGTTGAAAGCTGATGTGAGTAGTTGATGTGAGTGAAGAGAAGGACTGGATCTGAGAGATGTTGGGAGTGTCAAAATGGAAGATCTGGCAAGGGATTCGTCCCTGTAGGGAAGGGAAGAAGCCGCCAAGGCTGGCTCTAAAGTTGCAGACCTGGCCCCTTTTCTTCTCTCACATCAGCTTTTCCCTGGCTATTTTAACAAGCCTCCTAATTAGTCTTCTGGCTTCATCACTTCCTGCTCTCACCTCTATCCTCCACATGGCCATTAAAATGAGAATACTGACAATAGCAATAATAATGATAGCTAGCGTGTATGTCATGCTTTAATGTTTGCGAGGCACTTTATAAATACTATCTCATTTGCTCATTTCAACAGCCCTGGGAGGCAGGTGCTATTAATAATAATAATAACAGCTAACATCAATGTGCCAGGCACTGTGCTAAGCACCATACAATTATTATCTCTTCAGGTTCTGACAAGAACCCTGGGAGGTAGGTGTCATTACCAGCTCCATTCTACAAATGAGGAAACTGAGGAAAACGGAGGTTAAGTGACCTGCCCTGGGTCACACAGTTAGTAGGCATCAGAGGTCAGATTTGAATTCAGGTCTTCCTGACTCTTTGCACATACCATCCATTTTGCCACCTTACTGTCCCCTACTTTACAGTTAAGGAAACTGAGGAAGATTATTATCCCTATTTTACAGTTAAAGAAACTGAGGGAAAAGGAGGTTAAGTGACCTGCCCAGGGTCACACAGCGAGTTAGTGTCTGAGGCCAGATGTACACTAGGTCTTCCCGAATCCAAGACCACTGCTCTACTCACCGAGCAAAGCTCCTAAAGCACAGATCCGACCACGTCAGTCACTTCTTGAACATGATTCGTCAGTTGCCTGTGGCCTCTAGGATAACATAGAAACTCCTCAGAATGATATCTCATATCCTTCATAATTTGATTCTACTTACATTCCCTGACTATTTTCACTGTTTTCTCCCCCTTACCTCAGTTACCCCCATACCTCCAGTCAAACTGGCCAAGGTTTTGTTTCCTAGACACAACATCCTATATCCCACTCCATGGTTTTGCACAGGCCACTCCCCTTCCCTGCGATGGACTCTTGTAATGTCCTAACCCTACCAGAATCCTTAACTTACTTCATTTTTCAACTCCATTTGCCACCATCTAAGGGAAACCCACACCCCCTAGTTCTTGGGACTCTCCTACTCTTCTTATAATGCTGCAATTACTTACCTCTGCCAGTGTTACATCTCTGTCCTGCCCCTCCCCACCCCAGTAGAATTTAAGGTCTTTGAGAGCAGAAATTGATGTTTGTTATGACCATCCCTAGGTCCTACTATGGAGCCTTGTACATATTAGGCACTTTATAAATAATTGGAAAAAGGAAGGAAGGAAGGAAGGAAGGAAGGAAGGAAGGAAGGAAGGAAGGAAGGAAGGAAGGAAGGAAGGAAGGAAGGAAGGAAGGAAGGAAGGAAGGAAGGAAGGAACCAAGAAAGGTTAGCCCTGGAAAGATGAGTGTAAAGGTTTCTGAGAAGACCTTGCATTTCGGTTAAAACCAAAAAGCATGCAATCATGAGCACAATGGAGGAGATGTGGCCATTTATATTTAAAAGGGAAAAATAATCTTGGGTTTTAGTGAATCACAAGCTTAATACCACTTGAGGATGGGATATGACGGCCCTAAAATGTTCGTTAGAATTCGGGCAGGAATGCTGAACCCATAGTGCCCCAGTTATTCATTTGGTCATTCTACTCGGGGCCAACACTGAACTGAAGTTCTATGAACACGAGATGTTAAGCTTAGAATGGAGAAGTAGCAGAAGGAGGTGAGTGTTACTGAGGAAAGATGGGTAAAGACATCAGATAGAGAAGGCCCATAGAAAAGATGGAAGCTAGTAACACTGGAACCATCTGAAGTTTTCAGACTCAGGGATCAAGTGGCTTTTTACAACACAGGTCTGATGAAAGATCCGCCCATCCCCTATGCTCAGTCATTTCTTTTTTAGATGAGTGAAGAGCAATGCTATGATATCCAAGTGGCCTGGCCACTTGGCATCTGTGAGGGCTAGGCAAATCACTCCCTTTCTTGGCCCCCATTTCCACCTCTACAAAATGGAGGGGTTGGACGGAGTGATCTCAAAGGTCCCTTTCAGTTCAAAACTGACTCTAAAGTTGTGAGGCTTGGTTTCAAATCCTGCTTCTGACATACGACCTGTGTTACATTAAGCCAATGACTTAACCTCTCCAGGCCTCAGTAAAATAACAGAGATTTGACTCGTGGTATCTGAGGTTCCTCTCAGCTCCAGATCTATGATCTCTTCTGAGGATAAGTCTGGATGAGAGCAGATGGGCTCATGATCCTAGTGTGTGCAGCATACAAGCATCATCAGAAGTGGCCTCTGCTTTTCAAGGTTGCATTCATTTATAGCAGGGTCTGGGGCATTTTCTTCCAGAACCTGTATTTGTCTCAGCGATGTGTATGCATAGGGGTGTGTGTGTGTGTGTGTGTGTGTGTGTGTGTGTGTGTGTGTGTGTGTGTGTTGTGGGGAGGGCAAGCGGAGGCACTGTGGATTTCAGGACAAATAATGAGGAACGGTGGGGGGAGAAATAAGCTTCTTTTCTTATTACCTGCACTGAAGTCACTAAAATTCTCTGCAAGCTGTTTCTTGCCCGGATTTTGAGGAGGCCAAGCCCTGTTTGGATATTTACTAAAAAAGAAATGGCTGTGTGGGAGGAATAGAGAGCAGCCAGGGCTAATGCAAAGGGATCTTTTCTTCCCAAGTCTCTTTCAGCAGCTGTGTGTCTCTGAGCTGGACTCTTAGTGCCGGGGTCACACAAGCTGAACAAGAAAGAGGAGGGAAGGCACCCATTTCCCTGAAGTTTTTGGCAAGTTGCTGGGTCTCAAATGCAGGGTTTCATTTGTCTTGGCTTTGTTTGTCCATTTGTTTTATTTTGCCCAGAGAAACATTCCCAGAACTTAGATGTCTGAGCCTTCCCCTTAAGGTGAGATTGGCAGATGTCCCCTCCTCCCTTTGTTAGCTCAGTGCAGAATCACGTAAATAGTATCAATACTGGGATTCCAACCAAGTCCTCAGGCTCCACCTGGAATTGTCTTGTCACTTTGGACTTCCTGTGGGTTCTTGAAGGCAATGCCAGGCAAGGGAGCTCTGGAAGGTCTTACCTGCTGGCAAGGGTTTGAGAACTATGCCAGTGAAAGACCACATGGATCAGCTGAGTCCTGGGTGGTAGTGCTTCACACAGAATAGGGGAGAATTCACATCTGGGAGAAGTGTGTTCAGATGGCACCCAAGACCCCTTCCAGCTGAGAGACTTTGGATAAATCACGTCTCCTTTCTGGGCCTTATATATAATCTTAAACAACTCAGGTCCAGTACTTTTTCTTAGCAAAAATCAATCAATGAACAATTATTAAACACATTCTTAGTGCCAGGTACTGTGATCAGTGTTGGGGATATAAAGAGAAGAGGGAAAATTATTGTCCTCTCTGCATTTGCAATCTTACCCAGGAGACTCTCTGTACATATACAGGTGTATACAAAATACATCAAACTTTCCTTATGTCTTTTTAGGCAAGTGGAAGGAGCAGGGGAGGATAGAACCACAGGCAAATCACTTAATCCCTTTCAGCCTCAGTTTCCTCATATGTAAAATGGGGATAATTATAGTACCTACTTCACATGAAAAAGCCCTTTGAAAATCTCAAAGCACCACATTAATGCGAATGTTGGAAAGGAGGAGGAAGAAGGAGAAGAGGAGGATGTAGAAAATGGCATCTGAAGTGATCCTTGAAGGAAAACAGGGATTGCAAGAGCCCTAAGTGAGGAGGGAATACATTCCAGTCATGGGAAATAGTGTGTGCAAAGTTAGAGACGGGAGATGGAGTTCCAGGCATGAAGAACACTAATAAAGCCTGTTTGGCTGGTCTGGAGTGTGAATGGAGGGGGATGACATGAAGCAAGGCTGGAAAGGTAGGTTGGGACCAGATTCAGACGGGCTTTGAATGCCAGAGGAGTTTGCCTTTGATCCTGGAGGTGATAGGGAGCCACTGGAGTTTCTTGAGGAGTGTAGTGACGTGGTAAGGCCTGAGCTTCAGGAAAATCACTTTAGCAGCTGTTTGAAGGATGAATTGGAGAGAGGGAGGCACAGAGACACTGAGAAACACAGAGACAGACAGGCACCTTGAGGCTGTTGGAATAGTCTCTAGGACAAAGGGGACAAGGGTCTGGACTTCAGTGGTGGCAGAGAATCAGAGCCACAATGGCCATAGATTTGTCTGGGGTTGATAACACAAAACATTCCTCAAATCAGCTCTTACAGTTAAATCCATTTGTGGAGTGGAGGGGAGACCATTATCTCTGGATAGAGAAGATGGCCATCATTGGGGACTTACCTAGTATGGGGGCCATATGGTAGCTTCCTGTTTTACCTAATTGTTCTTGCTAACCAGGCTGTTTGACAAGCTCTTGCACTGGTGAAGGACAACCTGTAAATTTTGGCACCCCAGGGCAAAACCTCAGGCAGCCCACCCTAGTCACAGATCCATGGAGAAATGATGATTAATAGAACCGGTGAAAACAATGACTGTGATAGGCAGGACAACATAGTGAATAGCAAGCCGTCTTCAGAGTCCAGAAGACCTGAGTTCAAGTCCTATCTCTTCTACACAAAACTGTGAGATCCTGAACAACATTTAACCCTTCAATGACTCAGGAAAATCTCTACAACTATATTGAAAAATGGCACTGGTAGAGGGAGTTTCCTCACCTGGGAATTCCCTAACCCAATGAAGCTCAGGGTCTTGTCCAAGTACAAAGCATGTTATCTGTTAAAGGTGCTGTCTGTTGCTGATAATATGGGTATTCTCCAATGTTCCCATTCACATCACAGGTCTGGTCCTCCCTGTCCCACCTCAGGTAATAATAACAACAACAGCTCCCATTTCTCTACCTCTTTAAAGTTTGCAAAAAGCTTTAATCGTAGTAACATCAAACACAAGTACAGCCTAATGACCATTTTACAGATGAGATCACCGGGGCTCTAAGTGTTTACGTGACTTGCCAGACGTTCAGTTATTTAACCAAGATCAGGCTTAAAAGTCATGTTTTAAACAAACAGAATCAAGGGCTACCTTTACTTAGCAAGGTCCAAGTATTGGCAGAGCCTCTAAAAGTTTCTCAAAGAATAACCACAGGAACACAACCCCACCCAGCAGAATCTCTTTCTGCTTGGACAGTGGAGCCCTCCATCTTGTAGATGCTACATGTATGTGTTTTCTTGAGTAACAAGCACATTTACAACATCTGAAACATTTTCCAGCAGAAATCTCAGCCTACATAATGCATGAACATGGCCCCAGAGTGATATTCTCTTGTCAGCAGAAGAAGCTAAAGGACGCTGACAGAGTGGATGCTGTTAGAGTCAAGTAGTTAACATTTGTTAGACCTTTCTCCAGATGGGGCACCACCGATGTGGGTCTCACCAGAGTCACAGAATAGCTCTTTTTGCTTCTAGCATCAAGGAAACGCAGAATAATTCAAGGAGCATGAGTAATTCCAAAAAGCAGCATAGCATGATGAGCAGTGTGCTAGACTAATCCTCAGGAAGACTCGGGTTCCAATCCTGTCCCTGATGCTTCAAAGCTGTGTGACTAGGGGTGAGTCATACAGCCTGTCCAAGCCTTGATTTCCTCATCCATAAAATGGGGATAATGATCCCTTTGTCATCTACCCCTCAGTGTTGTTGTGAGTCTCAAATGAGGCTATATTTATAAAGAGCTATAAAAATGTCACTTAGTGTGAATTCCGAAGATGATCTGCCAGTAGACAGAAGCCCTGACTAAGTGCCCAGAGTTTAACACTCGAGGAGATCGTCATTCACATTGTGGACGAGGCCTCGCATCCAAGAGCGCTGAGGGTTTCTAGACAACTCATTAATGGTCATAGGTCCTAGCATTTGAGCAAGAACAGATAGTTCTGCAGGGCGTGGGGGGAGGAAAGGAGGGCTGGAAAAAAGTGAGAAAGCTCACCAAGAACCAATGTCACCCCAACATTCACGGTTCTTAGAAGGAATTCTTGGGCTCTGAAGTCCCCTGTGTTCTTTCTCTTTGGAGAAAACTCATTCTGAAAGGAAGCGTGGCACAGCAGACAGTATGCCTGGGTTCAAATCCTCTCCTACTCCTTGCTACCTGGGAATTTCTCATTGCCTGGCACAGAGTAGGTGCTAAATAAATGCTAATTGACTGGCTGACCAACTTTGAGGAAGCCACTTCCCCTTCTTGTGCCTCAGTTTCCCCACATATAGAAGAAGGGTCTTGGACAAAACAGCCCCCAAAGATCACC